TTTTGGTCAATGACATGAGACAAAGTATATGTGAACTGCTGTATGAAAAGTGAATTTACTCTGTAAATCTTCACCCAAATCCTAATTAAAAAAAAAAAAAAAAAAAGCACCTCGAGAGCTTAAAGAAACACCCCCATCAGCGAGTCAGCTTCATCTTCTGAACACATCCAGGAAGTAACTACTCCCAGGTCTCTAGGGTACCCCATTCCAGCCACCATCCTCTCCTACCTGCAACTGTACCTGGTCTCCTGGCTTCTGGCTTGACCCCTTTTGTCTATTCGCAACCCAACAACTGGAGTAACCCTATTAAAATGTAAGATGTGGCAGTCCTCTCTCCAAATCTCACGATGCTTCCCATCTGACTGCATAAAAACCAGACACGTTTGCCTCAGGCTCCTACTCCGCCTGTCCCCTCCACCCCTCTGCTCTGCTCTCCTACACTCTCCCCCTCGCACCTGCCACTCTACCACATGGCCACCTGCGGTTCCTCACACACGCCAAGACATTGCTACCCCAGGGCCCTTGCAAACCTGCCCCTCTGCCTGCCAAGCTCTTGGACCCCTGGGCCTGGCTCCTTCTCTCCGCCTCAGAGCTTAACTTCAACCACGTTGCCTCAGTGAGACCCTCTCCAGCCACCCTCTACAAAATTCACAGGCCCCTTCCACCATGAAACCCCTTCACTGCTTTCATTCCCCTCAGCACTCATCATCATCTAACACAACAGACATCTATCTTTTTACTTATTTCTACTGTTTACTGTCCCCTCTCATTGAAACATAAGGGACTGTTTTGTCTCTATTGTTCACTGCTTTCACCCCAGACCTGTAAGAGCCAAGCACGCACTGCTGCCGCCAGCGAGTCGATGCTGACTCACAGCGACCCCGTGTGTCAGAGGACACAGCTCCCCAGGGTTTTCTTGGCCATGATCTTCAAGCAAGTAGATCACTAAGACTTTTCTTCTGTGGAACCACTGGGTGGGTTCAAACCACCAACTTTTAGGTGGTCATTCACTAAATTATTTTTTGAAAAACATAATTTTTCTTTTTTTCCTAACTCTTTATTGTGATTTAGGTGAAAGTTTAGGAGGAGCTCTGGTGGCATAGTGCCTAAGACATCTGACTGCTAACCAGAAGGCTGGCGGTTCAAACCCACCAATCACTCCTCAGAAGGAAGACTGGGCAATCTACTTCTGTAGAGATACTGCCTCAGAAACCCAAGGAAGGGTCACTATGAGTCGGATCTGACTTGACGGCAGTGAGTTTGGTTTGGTTTATAGGTGAAAGTTTATAAAGCAAATTGGTTTTCCATTTAACAACTCATACACATTTTGTTTCATGACATTGACTGCAATCCCCACCACGTGAAAGCTTTCTTCCTCCTTCTCCCGTGTTTCCCGTTTCCATTCATACTCTTTCCTATCCCTTCCTGCTTTCTTAGCTTTATCCCTGAGCAAACACTGCCCTTTTGATCTCATACGGTTGATTGTTATAAGAGCCGCACACGTCCCTGTCTATCTTTTGGCTGAGAGGTGAGCCGCAGGGGTGAGTTCAGCTCCTGGCTTGAAGAGTGTCTAAGGGTCATAGTCCCAGTGTTCCACCAGTCTCTACCAAGTTTATATTTTTATAAACCTGGTGTATAATTAGAATTTCATAATGCTTAAAATACAGTTCTCTTGAAATTCAAATCCATCCCTGTACCACACACTCCAGTTTCTTCAGGCTTACCTGACGCACTCTCTCTTTAGCTGAGTGCATTAAGTGTGTGATAGCTCTGTTGTGATGTAGTCTCAGTGAGCTAAACTCATCACTACAGGTGAAGGACGACAGCAGCCCCATCTTGATAAAGGTCTGACAGAGCACTAGGAAAAGAACAGGGAAAGCTAGTATTAGAAAGGCCATCAGTAGATACGCAATTTTAAATACAGAGATGGGTAATAACAGCAAACTTCACAAAAGCCTCGACAAGAAAAAAGTGGTGAAAGCTCACACACGCATCCCCACTCAGGGACGGAGGCAGTTCTACTGTCACACGGGCTATGAGTCGGAAAGGACCTGATGGCATCCAACGACGTGTGTGTGTAACTAACTGTTAGTACAGCCACTGACCAGACAGAATGTCTAAGCAACGTACGAAGGAGTCCGGGTGGTACACTGGTTAAAGCGCTCAGCTGCATACTGAAAGGTCAGCAGTTTAAACCCACCAGCTGCTCTACGGGAGAAGGAAGAGACCGTCTGCTTCCGTAAAGACTGACAGCCTTGGAGAATCTGTGGGCAATTCTACTCTGTCCCCTAGGGGCGCTGAGTCAGAATCGACTCCATGGCTGTGGCTTGTAAGCAACACACGAAGAGAACACATTACGGGTATACAGACCAAACGTTAGGGGAAAGTCACCTCTGAGGTGACAATACAGGCTCCTCAGAAAAAGAAGTTTCTACAGAGCTGCTCTGGCTTTTGTTCATTCAAGGAATACAGCCGCCATAAAGGATAGCCCTCCCCCATCAAAAACTCTCTGTCTAGACTGTCAAGTACCCAAATGAGTATCTAGAACATCTATTCATACTGATGTCACACCAACATTTAGATAGCAGCTGCTCCTCAGACCACGGCATTAAAGCACACAGTACTTTCACCAGCTTTATTTAGCAAGACTACGGTATTTGCACTAACATTTAAACACCCGTCTTGAACGAACTGGATTTGACTCATGCACATGGCTCAAGTGCTCCAGCAAAGACACCAGCAGCAGTTGGTTGGCTACTGCAAATGGGAAGGTCGGCTGCTGCAGGGGTCCTTTCAATACCTGGAGTTCGGCTGGCACATCAGACTCTAAAAGTTTAAAAAAGAAAAAATTGTAAGTTACTTGTAAGTATTTTTATGAGGACAAAACAGCACACTCTAATTCATAAAACAAAAACTATTTAAATTTAAGGGAAAAAAAAAAAAGTGTAGTCACGCTGAATGGGGTTTCTCAAGAAACGCTTTCTGGGAGTGCCCCCTGGGGAATTCTGGAAGCTGAAGATGCTGTGGTGGGGAGTAGAGACGGTTTTAGTAGCACTGATATTTACAATGGTAAATAATTAAAATAAAGTAATTAAATAAATGAATAAATATTTGATCAAAAAAGCAAGCAAGGGGGAAATAAGATGGCCCCTTCCACTAAGAAGACTACTTAGGCCCTGGCAGAGAGGAGGAAGTCTGGCAGTGGAGTGACAGAAAGGCAGAAAGACTGGAAACTGTACTCGGAACATATACTACATAGGTACCAGGGTTTCACAGGGACCCTCTCATTTAACCCTCACAGACCAACACACGGTAGATGTGACCATGCCCATTTTACAGACAATGGTGCTGAGGCTCAGCAAGGTTAAGGAACTAGTGGGTCAGGTAGGACAGTCTGGCCCCTAAGCCCATTCTTTTTCTACCCGTAAAACTGTCTCATATAAGAGGCCAAGCAGACAGATGAGCTGGCACTTAAGGCTGAAGGTCATCCTAAGTTCTCGTTTGCCTTTTATTTAATGCACTACGGAAGAACAGGCTAAAAATACAAGTGAAGGCAAAGTGTTGATGGATGGATGTTCTGGTGACATGTAGTCTGTACAGAGGCCCACAGCCAACCAGGACAGAGTTGGAGGAGGCTAGTAAAGGAGGTCAGTTACAGAAACGCAGAGGAGGGAACAGATCCCACATCCAACTGCAAACAAGTTCACACATAGAATGTTCTACATCCCAGCCTAGCAAGTAGTATCTGGGGTCTTACAAGCCTGCGAGCAGCAATCTAAGAAGCAACTACTGGTCTCTTTCCTCCTGGAGCACAGGAGAACGAAGAAAATCAAAAACTCAAGGAAGCAGTCAGTACAAAGAACTAATGGCCCACATGAGGCTCAGGCCCATAGTCGCAGGGGACATCAGGCTCAACTGGCATAACACACTACACAAGACATTGTTCCACATCCTACTGTGGTGAGTACCAACTGGGATCTTAAAAGCTTGCAAGTGGCCATCTGGATGCAGTGATGGGTCTCTCCTCATCCAGAGCAAAGAAGAATGAAGAAAACCAAAGATTCATGGAAACAATTAGTCCTCACGACGGGTACACCATGTGATCTTCAGCCTATACGACTATGAGACCAGAAAATCTAGATAGTACCTGGCTACCACTGTCAACCACTCGGAAGGGGATCTATGTAGGAGATCCTGGATAGAGAGGGAGAACAATGTGGAACAAAACTCAAAAGCATTTAAAAAAAAAAAAAAAAGGGACCAGGTTTGCTGGTCTGACAGAGCCTGATGGAATCACTGGGACTATGGCCCCTAGCTGCCCTTCAGGTCTGGAATTGAACCTACTCCTGTGGCCTCCAACCAAACAAAAGACAAGTATATGAGCTGAACATTTACATTAGGTAGATACACTCCTTGGAGAGAACAATCATGGGAGAATAGAAGGGTTGTGTATGCACAGGGAAACAGCTCAGGGAGCAGGAGTGCACGGAAGGAAGGACACAGGGAAAAGGTAACTTATGAGGAGGAAGTGAGAGGGGAGGTGTTACATTGTGGTAAATTATAGTCAGTCATGAGACAAAGTGTATGTGAGCTGCTGTATGGAAAGTGAATTTGCTCAAAATGGCCGAAAGGACTTCATTTCAGTTCATTAATGCCTAGGATATTGATCTTTATGTGGTCCATTTCATTTTTGACAACTTCCAATTTTCCTAGATTCATACTTTGTACATTCCATGTTCCGATTATTAATGGATATTTGCTCCTGTTTCTTCCCATTTTTAGTGATGCCACATCTACAAATGGAGGTCCTACAAGCTTTACTCCATCCACATCAAGGTCAGCTCTACTCTGAGAAGCTCTTCCCCAGTCCTATTTGGAGAGCCTTCTGACCTAAGGGGCTCATCTTCTGGCACTATATGAGACAATGTTTCAGGGCTATTCATAACGTTTTCCAGTAATATATCAGACAGTGTTTTACTGCTGTTCATAAGGTTTTCAGTGGCCAACTCTTTGAGAAGGAGATGGCCTCTTCCTTCTTCTGAGTCTGTCTTAGCCTGGAAGCTCTGCTGAAACCTGTCCCCCACAGGTGATCCTGCTGCTATTTGAAATACTGGTGGCATAGCCTCCAGCCTCACAGCAACACACAAGCCACCACAGTATGACAAAATGACAGACGAGTAGTAAACAAGATTTAAAAAAAAAAAAAACCTCACTGCTGTCAAGTCAGATCCGACTCGTAGTGATCCCTCTTTGGGTTTCCTTGGCAATACCACTATGGAAGTAGATTGCCCAACCTTCCTTGTAAGGACTGCCTACTGGGTTTGAACCACCAACCTTTTGGTTACCAGTCAAATGCCTTAGGCATTATGCTACCAGAGCTCATAGTAAACAAGATACTCATAGTAAAATAAGGAAGGTCCCAGAGTTTGCACCTCAGATTAGTAAATATTTCAAGACTGGAACACTTGGTACTTTCAAGGGCAGAGTAAAGCAAGCAATTTCATACACAAGGGGTAAAAATGCAGCCTTTGCAATACACTGTAAATGTTGAAGGTGTAAACATTTGATACTTGTGGAAGTATCAACCAACAAAATAATTAAACAAAACAGGATGGAGATGATGGGCAAAATGTTCAGCACAACCACTGTCATCCACTTGGAAGGGATGTAGGAGATCCTGCATAGAGAGGGAGAACAATGTGGAACAAAACTCAAAATCATTT